CTGAGCCTTCTAATTGGATCAAGTTTGTAGATCTTTGTGGTTTAAAGTTGAACCTAGACTTAGACTTACAACAAGTTAAGCTTAAGCTGCCTACTAGTAAATTTGGGATATCTTAATCCGAAGTGACCTGCACCAAATCGATAGATTTGCTGAGCATCTACCTAGCCTCCTTGTCTGGCAACATTTTTTTCATCTTCAAATCTCGATGCAGCAACTCTGCCACTCGCTGCCTTCGTGTTTTATACTAAGACAAATATTTATTTACACATAGAAATCTCATATAATTTAGAAAGACGGCGTATGTATGATGAAATATCGTTGTTCATGATATTTTAACGTCTTCAGCAAGCGATCAACCATTGTGGTCGCCATAACGGCCGACACCAATGGGCTGAATACGCACTGCAGCTCAAACTTGTCAGTCACCTGTAATATAAAAAGGCATAGCGAAACGAGAGGTGTCCTTCTATACAGAATTGGATTCTTTGCTGGTAAACTGACCCATACAAGAACATTATCACGACTTCGCTTCAGAAAGAGGCATCGCATGTGGGGTTCCTCACGCACCAAATGCGTGATTCTTTCATACAACGACCGTGTAGCGATTCTCTCAGCACGTGAGATCAGAGGTACTCTGGAAATGAAACAGATGACAAATAATGCATTCAAAACTACAGAGGGCTAGTCAAAAAAGTCACTTTGCCATGGCGCATATCATCGAAACTTTTCATCGCAAAGGATGCCGCTGTTATTGGGAGTTATATGGCAAATTCCTTAGATGTCCCCCCATAAGCAGAATCAGGCCCACCTTCGCTGCTTTCACCGTCTCCAGAATATGACGTCATCTGTCATCACCGTCGAGCTCAAGGAGGCCTACCGTAATTGCTCCATTCTGAAGCTGCTACATAAGTTCTTCACTCGGATAACTGGTGAATGACTTCTTAGGGACACTAGCTCTGACTATGCAAAATGGCTTTTGACCAGCGTTTCAGAGACGTCGTCTATGGTTTCTTGACGACCTCGTTGAGCTCGCTTTGTTTCCGTGGGAAAATCTTCTGATGTCGTCGGTGTAGAAAGCCCTATGTGATTTTGATAGAATAGAATGTGCTCTTCAATATGCAATTGAGCTCATTTGGTTTGGTTTTGGCAAAGTGTAATTAATTCTGTTTTGAATGTGAGTCAGAGTGACTCTTTTTTTGGCCCCTCCCCCTGTAAGCCCATTTCAAACTGTCCTTGCTTTCATCAAACGTAGCTTTTCAAAGGATAGGATAAGGACAACACCACTCCTACGCTTACGAAAATTTCATGAGTACAGAGCATATACAGTAACATACTGAGTTTTAGGCTAAGATTAGTGCCTCCAATGCGACCAGAGTCAGTCAGAAGCAAAGAAGTCAGCGCGGAGGCTGTTGTATTACGGTGCATAGTTTAGGACCATGTACAGCATTAACGCCGTTCGAGTTTTTGGCGGCATTTTTTTTTTTAATATTTAAAAAAAAATGCCTCGAAACTTATGTGAAATGACAAAGGCCAATCTGAAACTTATGTCAGCTTTGAGAGATCTGGCTGCATTTTACTCCCCGAAAGATGGGAACTCAGATTACCCAGAGAAGAATTCCACCAGATGGAGGGCACAATCAATGGACAACCTGGCCACTGTGCTATTCCGTCCAGATCGACTGCGTTTCAGAAACTAAGGATCAGATGTTTAGCTTAACAAATGGGGACCAACACTTGACTTCACACACTTACTTGGCACCAGATATACATACTTGACGAGAAGATCTATTTTTATAGACAAACGACCACAAAACGTCGCTACCAGTACAATGCTGATTGAAAACGTCATGAAGCAGTGATACATATAACGGTTGGCATCAAACAATACCGCCAATAGAAGCGATAGCCGGGCGGCCCAAAAGAAGGGTGATGCTGTGACATTTTCGCCGCAGACGGTGAAAGCGCCCGCCCTAAGCGTAGCTATTGGAGTTTGTGATGTCGTTACCATTAGCGTTCCACTTTCATCTTGAAATTCCCAGTGGGTCGTATCTTTTAACCTAGCCGTCTCCTATATTCCAACGGGACATGCGGGACATGCTCATCAATACTTCCAGCATCCAATCGGTAAATTCGTTCAAAGGCAAATGGTAGAGTGGGGATCCCACCTCTGGAGAACTTAACAATTCATTAAGGTTTCTTGTTCACTGCCGCACCGTATGGCACATCTGCCTTCATATTTGATCACCACTATGCTATCGTAATCGCCGCACTCAACAAAAAAAGCACACGAAAACCAACGAACCTGTGATATGCTGAATGCAACAGGAGATTCGACAGAAGACTTGAAACTGGGAAAGAACTTAGGCGTTGCTCTCTAGTTTTTCCACAATCTTCTTTTTCACCTAAAAATTTCAAAATTTTCGAGCTGAGTCCTTCAGCTATCCATAAGCAACAAACTGATAGAACCTCGTTTAATGGATCGAAATGATCCTTTTTCACAGAGATCAAGATGAGGCAAGCCGCACTTTCTTCCCACGGAAACGAAATGTAAGCATAGACGAAACCTCTAAATCGGTTTAAATGAGCGAGTGTTCCTAAGCAATGCTCCAGGAAAAATTACTTGTCATTGAAGTTTGGCAAACAGATTGGTGTCCACGTCTGCGCTTCCGTGATTCGGAGAGAGCTGTTCCCCGAAATAAGATTCAAGAGAATATGAGTGTCACGAGGATGTAACGCATAACGTCTGAGGCGCACCATGGCTGCTACTTGCCGATGGGCAATCATCAAACCAAAAAGAACTCCCTGAAATGCGGGGAGTACTAGAACAGATGATTCATCACAAATACGAGTGCGAACATACGTCAAGCTTTGCGGCTGTGAGGCACGACACCATCGTAGAAGACAAATAGTCCCTGTCAGACGGCTGCATTGGAAGCACTCGAATGGCTGACTGAAGCAGGGAGACATCAGTGCGCCACGCTGACACACTACTGTCCATGTACCTGCAAGTCCATTTACGTTGTCGGCTAGTGCTATTTCCAGCCACCCACTCTTGACTGTCCTCAGCTGGTACCATTGAGATAAAACCTATCAAAACCTCATGTAAAAAAGAATAAAACGCAAAACGATATTGTTTCAATCGATCGTCAGTGATGGGCTTTTCTCATCAGTCCATTTAGGCATGAGGTAGTTACCGGCGAACGCAACACGCCAAACAATGTTGGGAGACTAATACTTATTTCTGAACTATTTATGGAACTACTCAAGGCTTTTTTCATCACAGCGAGGGTAGAAACATTTAACCGAACGGGATAAACTGTATTGTTCGCAAAGAGGAAACGAATCGGTCGCTGTTCTCCTCTGTACGTATCCACTAGCGCTTATATCGTTTATGCCTAGTAAAATTCCATGATTCTCCCTTGGAACGCTGGAATTAGACAACACCATATATCGTTAAGGATCTGGCTGCATCCGCCAGGCCGACACTGTGGAGTTCAGACCAAGCGGAAGAGATAAACTTTCAGTTCAGATCAAATGGAAGAGATAAACGAGAGAAGAGATAACAGTTTCTGAAACAGATGGAGAGGAGATAACGAAGAGTTAACAGTCTGAAGCATGGGATTTACCGCGACTGGTCTCCCTTCCAGTGCATTCTCTTTCATGTTGCTCTTCCGCTGACAAACTCATTGGACGAAACTTGAAGGCGAAGTGAGTCTTCAGTAACTCAACCCATCAGTTATCAAAAAATTTTCATACTAGACAACTTACTTGTCGGTCCCTCTGAGCAGTCGCCGCAAATCATAGTTATCTCCCTTCTTCTTATAGACTATGTCCAACTGTGACCTCGACAGAGTAGAAACTATTTGGTCAAACAGCACATTCAATTGATCATCAAGAAGTTCGTAAGATCGCGACACTAAACACATAAAACTAAGCCACATAAAGTAAAAACATTTTTAGATTTTCAATTGTAAGATGCAAAGATTCAGTTTCTCCCACCTATACAAAGTATTAGAGATGATCGGTGGCAAAATCGAACATGCACATCACCCGATGAAAGCTGCAGCAGTCGGTCTCCCCACATCTTCACTCTTGACACGAAAACTCCTATCAAGGCAAAAAGAGAGCACAGCTGATCTTCATGACCACACCTATAAAGCGATTTCTGAAGAGGAAAACAAAGATATACTGGAGAATTTAAATTTACATAGATGAGTCGAATGAAATGATAAGGGATTTCCAAAAATCCACCCCTTCTATTTCAGCTTTAATAAGGAACTTTTACAAAAGTAGCTCGGTAAACACCACAGGAACCCATGCTCCACTGCACCATTGTAGTAGGCAATGAAGATGTATGGTAATGATAATAATGACACCTTCACAATGCCAAAACGGAGGGACAGACAGAGAATCTCGAATCCAAAAGAAGAGCGGATGCGAATTGACTAATTTCTCCCCCTCCCCCCAAAAAACGCCATAAATTCACAAACTTTTCGCTTGAGGAAGGTTTCCATTGAAAGATATTCTGTAAGCGCTATGTAGATCTCCACAAAGAATTGCAGTCGACGATTGAGTCATAGAGACCTCATGCTGCCCCAAGCGCACTCTGTGGATGCACCATATCCAGCCAACGTCCACAGCAAAGTCGCAGCGCTCCGCGCTACTCACGTGCCCTGCGCGGCGGGACACTACGAGATTACGAGCGTCCTAACCCTCTGTCGGAAAAGACATCTCTGTCAATTAATTTATAGCAACCACCGACAAAAACTGAGTGTCTTGCATAACAATCACAAAAATAACGGAGACCACAGAGTATTTCACGAAAAAAGTAGTGACATACTATAACAGAAAGCAGTGACGGAAAAACAAGACTTACGACACAAATATTGGCCTCCCATATTCGGATAAGACAAATACTTGATATGGAAATTTTGAGAGGCGATCGAGTACCGATTCAGCGCTAACGGGTGGCTCGACTGTTTCTTCCTCGCCTAGCTCAATCTGGAAAGCACACTTCGCAGCACCTACGTACAAGTAATCACGGTATTACTATATAAACCAGAACTTTGGTGTGTCGGTTTGTCGGTGTGTGTGTGTGTCGTTCTGTCCGTCCGGACCAACCGCTCACAAAACCAGGGAGTACGAAGGGCAACACTTCGAGATGTTGATGTCATGATCATGATAACACCCACAGCGGCTATATAAACACCGATCGAGCACACTCAGTCTCATTCTACATGGTGCTGCCGTGGCAGCCGGATGAGCGGGGGGGAGGGGGGTCGGAGCAGAGTCAACCCTGCGTTGCGCAGTTCTCAACGGCCACGTTGCGCAGTTTCGCCCGATTAGACACGTTCTCTCGCGCGAACATTCACACTCGCATGCTCGAGCCGTCTGCGTCTCCGCCCATACAGCGTGCGTTGAGGATCTCTCAACGTGCCGTTGCGAACTGCGCAACGCAGGGTTGACTCTGGGTGGAGGGCAGTAGAGGGAAGAGGGGTAGAGGGAAGGAGGCAAGGAAAGGGGAGGCTGTAAGGGAGGGAGAGAGAAAGAGGGAGGGAAGGGGAGAAGGAGAAAGGAAGGGAGAACATGGTGCCATCATGTTGTGGTTTCCGTAGTTCCTCTCCAAGTGATGCGCGCGATAGCGGGCGGAGCAAACCTGGTCCTATTATATAAACCGCTAACTTGGTGTGTCGGTTTGTATGTATGTATGTGTGTATGTATATGTATGTGTGTCCGTCCGCAAAATGAAGTGAGTGAGAAGGAAGCTCATGGGATAAACAAACCGCTAACAAATCGGGTAGCTCGCAGGATTTGAGATATCAATGTTTTGCAATGGCATGATTGTGATAACACTCCAACGGCTATATAAACACCTGCTTAGCACACTTTCGGTCATTCCACAAGGTGCTGCAGTGGCAGCTGGAGAGCAATGGAGGAGGAGGGGAGGATAAGGACAGAAGGAGGAAGCAAAGCTTACGCAGGGAAGGGAGGTTCCGGCGGTTGCCGGGGGACCAATCTGGTCAATTCGTAATGTAGGGAAGAAAGGCACAAATCTCATTTCTCTTCAAAACATCCCACAAACCTAGGGAATATGGACACTTTTTCGCAGCAACTCCTGGGAGACCCAATTCTTTATATGAAATAAGCAAGGAGAAAAATTAGAGGAGTTGCTGCTTCATCAATGAATTACTTGATACAATACAGGAGTGGTTCAAAACGTGATCCATGATAGCCATTTTGGAAGTGGAAGGCTGAAGAAGAAACTTAAGCATCACAAGCGTCGACTCTTATGACAGGTCTGGGTCTTCCAAAAAATGCAAGTCTGGCGAGTCACACACCCTTTCTAATGTGTTCCACGACCACATGGAGTGAAGACCCCCATTCCAGGGAACTAACAATAAGTAATGAAATCTACGTAAGTCTGCTATGCACACAAACATTGCTCAGGAATACTCATTACTATGCGTTATAGACTGTAGCAAAGTCCAAGTCGTCAGGTATGAACTCACCTGATTAACTGGAACATTAGAGCTATTCATGCTATGGTCGAGAAGCGATGATTCAACTGAACCGGCGCCTCCAGGAGTATCATCGATTTCCAGCATCGTTTGAGAAATTTCTGCACATTAGCGTCTACTAAGTACAATACTTTTGTAAATTCAGAAACAGAAAAATCGATGTAGTACAGTTAAAAACGATTCGCTCACGTGTTGAAACAATTCAATGTACACCTTTATTATAGAATTTTCATAAATTTGGAACGAAACTTTACAATTTGTGTATACAATGTGACCAGGGACTAAATAGCAGAATTCGAAACTGTAAAGACCACCATATTTCAGTCGTTATAGT